GACAACAAAACAGAAGACACTAGCCTTTATGCACCCACTTTTGTCACTATTGTCCAATTATGCGCGTGGGTGACAACCACATGATCCTCACATTACAAGCGAAATGCTTCAACAATTCATCTCGTAAAGAGGGAGACCATGCCCAATCTCATGCAAAGAGGACAGTATAAGAGAAGACTGGACATTAAACGTGTCTAGAGGTCTGCAAAACTGACCTAAAAATGTGCAACACGTAAAGACGATGGATTAAGTGGCAGAAATGAACTTAACAAACTGAAGCCACTAAAAGGACATTTAAAAATCAACAAGTAACAACGTAAAACGTGGGACTGCAGTGAGGGCGGAAGCGTCAAAAAGGGACGACGAAATATGATGCACACCGCCCCAGTCCTGTGGTTCTAAGCTACTTTTGTGCCTCATCTTTCGCCACGATTTCGTGCCTGCCACCGCATAGACAGATTCGCTTTCCAATTTATAAATAAAAGCAAAGCCATTTTCCAGTCCCTATGCTTCTGCATCCATCTACTACCGGGACGGCTACAACTCTAATGCAACCAACCGCATGATCCACAGCAGAAATGCAATGGAGTGAGAAATCCTAATTATAGGCAGCCAAGTAAACGAAAGCCGACAAGAAGAACAATAGCCCCATTCCCGAAGGTCTCAAGGCTCATCAGCACACAACATCGAATTTCCTGGCGATAGAGGTAAGATAATATAATATTGAAATTAAAAATGGCAATTTCGCAAGTAGATGAGAATGACGGGGAAGCATCTTCACCGGGAAAGAGGCAGAGCTTAAGAGGACTTTTCGGTAGTTACGGGCTTTTCCCCCAATCCTGACGAGTTGTCCAACGCCTCCTTCGATGTTCGAGCTAGTCGTTCCAATTCCGACTGCATCTCCCTGGCTGACATCGTGGAAGCATCACCAAAACCTAAACAAAATCAATCCTTCAAAAGACTTGAAAGTGACCTGCCTGCCAAAAAAATGCACCAAGCCAGCGAATAGATGGTACCTGAAGCATCCGCTAAGATCTTATTCTTCGCTTCCACCATCATGAACATTATGGGAACAGGAACGATGGAATCAACATTACAAAGGCAAATTGTGCTCAATGGTTCGCGCTTGATGTTTCAATTAAAAAATAAAAACATTCTACTTTGTCAGTTTCAAATGGACGTTTTAAGCTACTGAAATAAAGTCAGTAGCGGTAGTGAATTGCAAAGTTGCAAATAAAACACCAGTCCAAGCATCAAAATCACGAAAGGGGCGATAGGCAGGCTCAAATCAAAACAATCAACTAACTATTCGTCTCAGGTGGTAATGGATTGAACGACGAAGGAGGAGGTCCATTAGGCGTTTGACGAGCAGATGGTCCCTTGCTGAGCAAGTTGTTGAAGAAGTTCGCGAGCACCTTTTCCGACGAACTGCTCGATAGGCCACCAGCAATACCGGCTCCTGAAGACTACGCAACAAAAAAAAAAAGATTCTGTTTGTCAATGGTAACTGTGGAGTCTAGTCATATCCCAAGATATTCAACTAAACCGTTGCGTCACCTCTTGGGACTTCTACACAGTTGCACACAAAGCCAACTTTCCCGCTCGCCTTGATACCCATTTACAACAGACTTTTATCATACAGGAAGGTTACAATGAGGCTTGCGCACGCTTCAGTCAACTGTTCTCCTCTGTTACAGAAACACTTATGGTTTACTAACTTCCGTCCCTCACAGACAGCTGAATGAGCCTCATCAACATTCTGTCTTCGACAAGGCCGCGCGAGAATACATAAATAGGCAGCACAACTCAGAGGAGGTAATGGAAATAGCACGAAAGTTTGCTGTCTTTGACAATCTGTTCATTTGAGCCCTAGCACCTAAAAACTGACAAGTGACGAAAGTTAAAAGGGCGGTTAGCATGTAGACTAATAAAACTGATCTACAAATGGGTTCAGTTGCTCTATAAAGGGTGTTTTGCACGTTCAGCATCCAATTGTGCACGTACTAGGAACTAGTTCCTCTCACAACAATCAACATCAAGCATCAATTTCACATCATCTTTAGCGCCAAAGCGAAAACGCTT